TTAAGTGCTGATGTGGCACAGCAAGTGTGTTCACTTTCCTGAAGGCAAGTGTAACGCAAATAAATAAGGCAAAATTAAATGATTAAACAATTGTCATTTCTTAATTGAATTCAATATAATTAATAAATAAATTTAATTAATTACAATCACATACTCTCTCTCTCTAACCATTTCCCTCCTTCAAAAATTACACCTCTACAATTAAATTGTCATGGCTGCCATGGCAAGCACCTATACAACATTTTATTTTTTCATTTTTTTCACTTTTAATCCACATGAACTTTTTCATGACCAACCCCTTCAAATATTTCCTAAAAATAGACAACATAACCAAAATAAAGTTAATGATAATCCTTTAATTTCTTCACCTCAATGGAAAATACTTTCAATCCGACATTGAAAAATGGTACTACAACTTCTGCTAGAGAAATCTTTTCGATTATTGTAGCAACCCGAGTTTCTTGATTGGAACTGAAAGTGGGTTTTAAAGTTTGAAATTTGTGAGTTTCTTGATTGAAATTGAAAGTGGGTATTAGAATTTGAATTTTGGCAAGGAAAATTTTATCTTCAAATCTATCAAAAAAAGCAACGGATGCAGAACTAGACAATAATGGCAGTAAAATACCATAATAAAAAGATTCAACATTCATGTCAAATTTATTGAATTCAACAATGACAACAAGATTTTGTGCAAATAAATAATCGAAAAGATAGAAGAAAGACGGAGGACGACGGGTGTGATGGAGATGGAGGTGGATTGGAAGAGATGATACATTTGGGAACAATGGAGAAAAATGGGATGATTTAGGAAGATGAATGGGATGGTGGAGAAAAAATGAAAAACATCAAAATTGATGTATTTTGGTGATGAATTTTTTTTAAATTTTTTTATTCTGAAAAAATACGTGTATTACACTCAGCAACAAAGATTTGGGGGTGACATTTTAAGGGTGTCAATATTTGTGTTTAAAATACTCTAGGTGGGTAATAGGACCCCCGTGAAGTATAAGTGTGTAGTTGAGAATCGGGTAATAGGTTGAGGGGGTATTTGATTGTTTTCTCACCTGTAAATGATGAAAAATAAAGTGAGCTTGATAAGTTATGTCACATTAGAATCGATATTAAATAACCGTCGACGATATCTTGAATATAATGTAGCGCTCAAAATTATAAATGGTAATGAGGATCTTGAAATTAAATCTGTCGAAAGTTGACAGTTAAATGATTGGCCAAAAGAAAATACAATTCAAGTATATTTCTGTTCACTTGGAAAAGTGATGTTTTGGACTTATTTTGTCCATATACCAAGATATAATATCAGGTGGGGGTACAAATGAATTATTGTGCGATAAGCAAAATTGTAAAATATAAAGTACGGGTTGTACATTGAAAAATAAAGATTTTTCGCAAAAGTCCTGACATTATTGTATGGAGATGTATACTCTCAAGGTGGATGCAATGAGGTTTCTTTCCGTCTGACAATATATGAAAAAACTTGAATACGCATGATGAATGATTATCATGTCTAGCTAGACAGTAAATATTACATGAAATTATAAAGCGATTCCATTAAATAGTACCCCAATGATTGTAAGATTGCATATTATAAAGATCAATTTTGTTCTCATTATAATGGTTAGAAAGTACCATGTCATAGTGCAATTGGTGAACTTATGTATCCTGCTATTATTATTCATGGTAAATAATTTTATTGGTATGCATGCACAATATAACATCACTCTTATTGGTGGAGATATTAGAGTGAATAAAATATCAATATAAATTATTTATTCTGATCAATTGTGTCAAGATTTATTGATCGTGAAATTGCAGAAAATTATGAAGTTTGAACTCATGAAAGTTATATATTTTCATTTGGAAATACTGTCATTTCAAATCATTCCACAAGACAGTCAATTTTACTGAAAATGTTCGTCAGTGCTCGATTGTTGCTACTAACAAATCAAACGACCAATTTGTCTACGTCGACAAGATCACGAATTGAGTGTTTTTCAAAAATATATTTGGTTGAGATCAATAAACATATCCAGAGAATGTGTGATCTTCCTTCGAAAAGAGATATTCCAACAACATTATATGAAGACAATGCTTCGTGAGCTCAACTAAGAGGAGGATACATCAAAGAAGACTGAGCAAAATATATTTAATCAAAGTTCTTCTTCTTATTCATGATCTTCAAAAGAAGGGTGTAGCCGTTGTTTTACACTTCGTATTCACCAAGGCATTATCAACTTCAACCTTTGAGAAATTGAGATATAAGATTGGAATGTGTCATCTTCGAGTTGTTAAGTGATGTTTTAATCAAGGGGAGTATAATACGCGTTGCACTCTTTTTCCTTTAGCCGAGGTTTTGTCCCACTGGATTTTCCTGGTAAGGTTTTTAATGAGGCAGCTACCAATGCGTATTACAACTTACAAAGATATGTGTACTTTTTTTCCTTTACTAAGATTTTTCCCATTGGATTTTTCCTAGTAAGGTTTTAATGAGACACATTATCTATTGATGAACTCCACAATGAGTAGTAAATACATCATATTGTGATACCATTACACAGTTTCCCTGGATAAGCTTAAAATCAAGAAGACAACTTACAAAAAGATCCGCAAGCAAATACCTCTATACAACTTAGAAGAAACTTCGCAAATAGATTCCTATAAGCAGCTCACACAAGCAGGTTTTTTAAAAACAGCTTACAAGTAGCTCAACAATTTTTTTTTTGACATGGACATCCAAAGGGGAGTGTTGTAAAAATGGATGGCCATGTAAGCTTTACATTGTGGCAAATTGATGACCAAGTAAAATTATTGTAGAAAGTTTCCTTTTCCAAGTAATGTATTACCCTGTGTCTATAAAAGACACTACAAATGGTTAATGAATATACACCTAAATAGTTACTACTCTTACTTCTACTCTTTGTTTTCTTCTTTCTTTGCTCCTTTTATTTGATTTTTAGTATTCTGTCTTTATTTTATAACACAAATGATTTTTTCTTCTCTTTTTTTTTTCAAATGACTTGGGTGAACCTTTACTTTGAAGGGTGTGTTATGGACTTTTGCTTATTTGATAAAATTGTATTGAGTTATTTTTGGATTTAGGGTATGTTTGATCATGTGAGATGGAATTGTGATACAAAATTATATGAGATGAAGTTGAAATTTCGTTGAAAGATGCAACTTAAATTTTTAAGTTATATTAGTATACGTGTCCGCACGATGCACGGATAATATTAAAGAAAATAATTGCATTATATTTATGCTCGAATATATAGTATACACTTGTCTACATGAAAAAAATCATTTAAAAATTTGATGTCTAGTTTTCTTCTTAATAAAGCAGGCTTCAAACACATTATTGAATCTGATCAATATGTAATTGTAAAAAAGGGTATTTTTGTGGGGAAAAGGTATGCTTGTGATGAGATGTTCAAACTGAATGAAATGAATAAACTTTATGTTGGTGTATATGCATTTTATTATTAAAATAAAATATTAAGTGCATATGTTAATGGGTATAGATTGTGGTAAAAGATGACTATTAGGGGTCGTTTGGTGTGAGGGATAAAAATAAATAGTGATGAGATAAGAAAATAGCGATGAAATGTTTTTTGTATCTTGTTTGGTTGTCGTGTTTGGGATAATTTATCTCACCATTTATATCATATAGTGATGGAATAAGTTATCCCATATATATGGTGGGATAAGTTATCCCAGGATAGCTAACCCCTGGATAACTAATCCTGGGATAACTTGTTCCCAACCAAACGACCCCTTAGTTCTTCTAACTTTCATGGTCATTAAATTATTGTAACTCATATGACCATGAGTTTCTTATAACTTATGTAACATCTATTACATTTATCTACCCACATTACTACCCCTCATTTTATCCATTGATTACATGAGACTTCTTCAATTATAAATAAATGGTGTATCTTCCTTTGTGTTAGGATGAGATGAAATATGTGAAGTGTGGAAAAATATTGTAGTATGTAGTAGTGAAAGAGAGAGTTTAGACAAAGAAAATATTTTAAGTCTTCAACTATATTCACTATATAAAAGAGAGTATATGTTGAAGGAAGATGTTCTAATGTGGAGCTTTGGATCCTTCTACTAATCTGGAGTTGTACGATGTTGTTGTATCCTGGAGGGGGACAAGTCAAGAGATATATTGTTGGATCAGTGTAAATTATACCGCAATGAGCTTGAATCTCCTTTAAGAGAGCAAGATATCCATGTCTCATCCTAAAATTTGTTTATTCATTTTTGCTAATTTTGTTTCAACGATAATTTATTATATTTATGATATATTACATCAATACTTTATTCAAGAAACGAAGAAATGGAAGTTGGAACTTGGAAGTAATTCTATTTTAATTTGAGTGAGATTGATCATTTACTAAAAGAGTATGTATAGGGAAAGTTGTTGAAAGACTGAATCATTTGAGATGCTTAATTGTTAGTTCAGCTTCCTAGATGTAATTAACTTTAGACATGTATTGATGCCATAATGCCATCCAATATAGAAGAGTATTAGCTTAAAAAAATTAAAGAAATGATTTAATCAATTTGAATGAATTGTCCACCAAATCTGGTTGATCCAAACTTCATCTATGAATAACCACTTTTAGAAAACATCTCTACTAATAAGATCATATGGATGTTCCTAAAACCAACATTTGGGAAGGTTAACTAACAACACTATATAGAATTACTAGATTGGGCATGGCACGTGCTTGAGCACGGGTCCAACATCTGATGATCATGATACTTAAAAATATGGCATGGTAGGAACAATAATAGCAAGAACTAAAGGATCAAAGGATATATTTTACCATAATTTTTTCATTATTGCAGATTGCATTACCATCAAGTTAATAATACATTAGTACCCAAAAAGATTGACTTGATGCTTATGTATGTTCTTTTGACAGTCAAATAACTACATGGGAAAGTATCATTAACAATTGTAATCTTGAAAATTAACCAAAAGAAATCACATCTGCCTTCATGAGCTTTGGACGAAAATTTAAACTTCACACAATTTTTAGTTGAGAATTAGAGTATTAACAATGCCAAGAATATTAACAATAGATCCTAAAAAGTTTTTTTGATCTTGCAAATGTGAGCAATACTTTCGCTTTCATTTTCTCAAGCAGTTTTTTTTCACACGGATGTTGTTGCTTCTTTTGTGGTAAATTTGCACTGTTTAAAAAAAGTAAGACAGCAGGATTTAGGAGCAAAGTTTTCGTCTAAACCCATAAAATAGAAGTGATTCAGATGAAACAATTACATACCACTCTAGCTTTTCCAAATTGCTTTCTCCATTAGTATTTGGTCCTTGACATAAGCATCATGTGTTATTGTTAGTAAGTCATCCATCCGCAGAGGCAGACATAGCAGAGAATCAGAGTTCATGACAACTTTCAACCGAACAGATTACTGCATTTTCAAGATGCGTCATATTATAACCATGAAGCTTAAATCTCTTCATATTTGTAGGCAATACGATGGATTGGATCGAGAGGCGATGCTTATGCCTCTTCTTTCAGCATTGAGCTTATGCAAAGTAACTGAAGTTCCCTTTTAAGAACAACCTCGCTAACATGAAACAATCCAATATATTAAACTGTGAGGTAATAGGCTTTCAAGCCTTAGTTCTAACCTTTTGTGTGCTTCTATCAGTCAATCCACAAGAATTGCTCTGATCATGATTTTGATCTCTAGTTGAGAATTCATCTAATCACATAATCGACGCTCGTCCCAAATCACACAAAATAGCATGAATTTTGTATACTACACAATAAAGTCACAAAAGTATTAGTTTTTTTTATACATTAAAGTAACTGAATAGTAAATTCACAACTTCAAAACAGATACACATGATATTCAGTATACCCCTATGAGCTTATATTTTCAACATTTTCACAGCAGCCAAGTGATTATCAACATCAGCAATATGAATATTAACTATTTGTATTTTTAGTTTAATTTGTTGAAGATCCAGAAGCAGTCTGAAACATAATTGATCAATTATACTATGTACTGAACTTGCTTTCCTTTTCTACTATTCAAGGGAATCTCTTCAATGGTCCTAAATTTCAACATCTTCATTAGGCGTGTAATGCTAATTACTTCAATTTTTCTTTGACAAAATAATTTTTAATAGCTTCTGCTTTTGTTGGAACACTAATATCCCTGCTGCAACCCCTTCAATTACTTATACAATTATATCAACATAATAAGACAACTATGAAAATTTCAGAAACAACGAATCTACTTGCATGAGGTGAGGTAAGGTGTTGTTACACTTTATCCTCCCCATACTGAAATATTATTTTGAACCCAAAAAGATGTCAATTTTCGAAGACGATTACCTTCAAGCTAACAACAGACCGTTCAAAATTTATTGCACATGTGAAACACCAATATATTGAAGAGGAAATATATCACAAATTCTAACATCTTTATTTCCAATTTGAGACTTCCCACCTGAGAAATGAGATCTCAAATATAGTGGTTAAATTCAGCGAGGTCATCAATGCTCAAAATTGTGCTAAGATACATTCACAGAAGTCACCATCTCTATATACATCAACAAAAGGACATAAGCAACCTCAAAAAATCTCTTCATCTTATTTCCTGGCACTCCTACTGTCCAAGTTCCATTTTCATGAAATAAAAACAATTTAAAAAGAGAAAAAATCCATCAAAATTTCATCAGAGAATATAACATAATTTAATGAACATAAAAGTTAATTAAAGAAATACAAATAGATCCAAATGAAGAAAGAGAAGAATAAGCTTAGAAAAATGGGTAACTTGAAAATTACATAAAAGAAAATGGGAATGGAACATTCCAGTTTCCATTTCTCTATTCATTTGAGGGAGTTAATTATTTTGACAGTTTGTTACACGTGTTCAATAACCAATTACACAGATCCACATACGCAAAAAGCCAACCAAAATGGCCCTATGTTTTATAGAATACTATTTGTACAACTAATCATAGCAGTGTTCGTCCAATCTAACTCTCACTACTAAATATTGGTAAGGTAATAATAAAAAATAATAGTATATAAAGTCTATGCTGCCTCTGCCTCACCCAACATATCACCAAATACTAGTACTCCTCTAAGATTTTTCCCGATATATACACCTTTTATTGATGACAATCTCATCAAATCAAGTCAAAACATACACTTAATTTCCTTGTAATCAGTAATCCTCAAATTAAATTATTTTTTAGTGGTTTCTCAATTTTTTCAATTCTCTTGTTTGAATTTTCGGCTCTGCTAATACCTTGTTATTTCACAGAAAATTTGTATGCAATTCAAATTGAAATAAAGTTTTTGAGTTTTGAGCTAAACTTATCTCTTATCTATAGGAGTAGATTCATTTTGGTATATCAAATATAACCTAAGCATTTTAATTCCTTAACTTTGCTAAAGTGAAGTGCTTTTGATCTCCCTAACATAACGATGTTAAAAACTAATGGCAATAATAATTTTTCTAACGGTGCAAATTTCAACTAATTAACAATGCTATCTCTTTATTGATGCACATTTTATTTCTTCATGCCTTCTTTCATTCTTAGGATTAATATAGTAGTAGAATATTTATTCAGACGACAATACTTTAGCAATTAGAACGCAACAATCTGTCCCACTCGAAAATAGTAACCATTTTTCCTTAGTAACAAAATGGCCTTAAGGTGCGACAACACAACTTAGAAAAGCTGAAAGAATTTATCCAATGAGTTTTATATTTTACAAGTCACATGGGTGTCACACGAGTTTAACACCATTACTTTTATGTTAAGAAGATCAAAAGTGCTCCACTTTAGCGAAGTCAGGATATTAAAAATGTTCAACTTATATTCGAATAACTAAAATGAACCTACGGGATAATTTTAGCGCAAAACTCGAAAGTTGTTTAAGGCATATATAGTGAACTGCATAGAACACAGAAGAATTTTTCGACCAGGTTAGAGGTGCCTTATAGTAATATGTATTTACTAATTAACACATTGGACCATATTCACATACGCATGCTCAAGAAAAATAAAATAAAAAGTCAAAATAAGCATGCTATTGAAGATTAGAGGAAATTATAGTTATATAGCTATCTAGGGTGACCACCACCCAAAAAAATTGGAATCTAATATAGCAATGAACTGTACGCAAAGTTATATTTGATCAAATAGCTAATTCTTTTAACACAGACAAAAACAACCAAATTGCCTCTTCTGACTTCAATTTACTTCATTCATACATACATACATGCTAAAGAAATATTAGCCACTTTCACAACAAGTGGATTAGGATATTGAAATTTCAGCCACTAAATTTACAATTACTTTTCCTATAAATTGATCATAATACACACACCTAAATTCTCACAACAACAACTTAATTAATTAGCTATATCACACATAAGAAGTTGTCATGGCCTCATCAAAAATTTTCTTGATTTTCATTTTGGCTGCATTAATAGCAACCCCTGTTGCAGTAGCCCAATTAGGAGGACTTCTGGGTGGCCTTCTTGGCCCAATAAGTATAGATGGGGTTCTATTTTGTAGCCTTAACGGCAAAATAGATGTCCTCAATGGAGCCACCACCCCAATTTTCCCTAGTAAGTTCCTTATTTTGTAAGTATACACATGTAAGAATTAAGTCGTTAGCATTGAAGTGTGTGACCATCTTAGCTTAACCCTCTCACGAACTAATTTCATAAAAAAAAGGTCTATATTATTATTTATAATAATAGGAAGATTTCAGGACACTGCACTCATTATTCGTCTCTTGGCATTTATTGAACACATAGGAGAGAAATGAATTAGTATATATTACCAAAGAAATTTTAGTAACATATAAGTATATGGTTTAAACATTGCAGATGCATCGGTGCAATTGCGGTGTGGAGCAGGAAATGTAGTATCAAGTACAACAACAAATGGATCAGGAGCGTTTTCGTTGGTGTTGAATCCAGTACAAAATATATTATCATCATTGTTGTCTAACTGCAACATAGTGGTTACAACTCCGCTCTCAACATGTAACGCTAGCTTACCATCCGTTGGGGTTCTGCAGGCACCTTTGCAGATTGTTGGGAGAACCACTGGTGGACTTGTCAATTTAGTTACTGGTGTTTTTCAACTTATTCCCCTACTCAATTAAGTAATTAATTACTTACCCAAAAATGCTACCTACTCCTTTATGTGTTGTTTAATTAATTAATGTTGCCTAGTGATGCATCAGCTAGTTAATGTTCCAGCTGATTGCATAAATAAGGATTAATGTTGTTTGTGTCCACTGTAATTGTTTGAATGTTGGAGTGTTTGTCATTATACAATTGTGCAAATAATATTTGCAGTTAAGTGTAATATCATCATATACATTCAAGAAATCTACTCGTATTGTTTGGGTTTTTATTTTCTTTGAAATACTATCCATACAAGAAAAATCACTCGTCATTTAATTTGTTCGTTATTAGTGGCATCCCAAAAACGTCCTACTTGAAATATCGCTACTTTTTCTTGTTTGTCCTTCTATTAGGAAAATAACGTTTTTCTTGTGTATAAATTTGTAAAATCTTTAATTTCCTAAAAGTTATGGATAAAGTACTGAAGCCTAAGGTACACTACACTTTGATGGTGAGACAACTATATATACTCGGGGTCATTCACATGAAAGTGTCTCATATATATATACTAGACTTGTCCTTGTGTGATGAGATCACCGAACCTAACGCTCTGATACCAACTTTGTCACAACCCAAAATGAATAAACTAGTTTATGTTCGAAAACTAAGGACATCATGCCACGACCAAGAGAATCCAACACGAGCTGGAATGAATAGCTCACCCTGGAACCTGATGTGCTGGACACTGGCTAGAGCTGAGGGCGAGTCGAAGTCACTGATACACTCGTTGCACTCCACAAAAAGAAAACAAAGAAAAACACAAGTAGGACTCAGTTCAGGGCAACATGTACTGAGTAGATATCATCGGTCAACCCAAAATAATAGTATAAAATCAACTATGACACTTAGCAGGTGGCAAGCAACAAACACATGAACCAGTGTCAACAACACTAAAGTAAGTACGTAATCAGTCAACAATATCAAGATCACACATGAGGACTCATGCCTCCAAACCAAACTAATTTGGGAATTGAGTTCTTTGAGATTGAGTACATTAAGTTAATTCAATATCTTTTTCCTTTAATGTTACCGTGTCGGAACGTGACACTCCGTTCCAATTATATCATGTCGGAACGTGACACCCGATCCAATAATA